CAGGATGAGGGCCAAGAAAGCGGGCCTCCTATCCCAAACAGCCAAGTTGTGAATGCAAAGGAAAAGATCTTTTTTTTCCAGATTTTAAAAATGTACTTATTTTCAGAGAGGAGAAAGGAGGGAGAAAGAGGCCCCCCTGTCTGAAGTGGCCACACAGTCCTGTCCCCAGACCTTGAGAGCCACCTGGGAGTCTTCTCAGGTCCCCAGTCCATAGTCCATGGGGACCCAAAGCTCCCACCAGACTTCTGTGAGTCCCCAGGGACTGAACCTCACGCCCCTCACCCTCAGATTCCTCGCTCTGGTGGTGCTGGCCCTGTCTCACAGCTCTGGCAACCTCAATGGGGGGTTAGCTCCCCTGTCGCTGTGCCCCAAGCCACTCACGTTAAGTATTCCAGGAGCTGAATGATTGATGTACCTTTTGAGGGCTCCAGAGGGGAGGGAGGTTCTGCCACTCACTTACTGGCCTCTAGCCCATTCCCCAACTCCTTTCTGCCCCTCCTCTGGCACATAAGGGCAAAACGGTCCCTCTTGTTGGTTGGAGAGCGCTGCCACCACCACCAACCCTGAAGTCTCGGCCCCTGCCTATAGCCATGTCCTGGGGGGTGGTTTCCCGTCCTAACAGGAGTGACTGATACCTTTTCTTAACAAAAGTTGTTTCCTCCAGAAGAGGGATTCTTTTTCCAGCTGCCGAGAGAAGAACAACATTTTGCTGTGACGGTGAGAGGCAGCGTTGGGATTTCAGCCCAGATCTGTCCTAGATCTGAGTTTGGAGCCAATGCTTTTAAACCGCAGCATCAGCTGTGTCCCCCAGATGCCACAGTGCGGGCCGCTGATGGCTCTCCATGGCGGCTCACACACACACACACACGTACACCTGTGCTTTCTCGCAGGGGAAATGCATGGTCATCTGGCCCACCTGGGAAGGTTGTTCTGAAGGTTGAACAACATTTCTTACAAACCTGTCAAATCTAGCCTCAGGACATCTGATCACCTGGTCCAAATCCTCGCCGTGGGTTGGACAGCTGCACAGAAAGGGGACAGACCTCTGGACGCCAGGTAGGAAGCTCTTTGTGCTCCCCAGAGCTGCGTCCTCACTTTCTTTCCTCCCTGCCCCTCCCAGTAGTTCCCCAGTTGCTGTGGGTGGCCTTTACCCAGCTGAAGCGAACTTTTTCTCTGACGGAGGCATGGAGAGCCCACTATTCTAGCCCTTATGTTCTACCCCCCCCCAGGTGATTACCTGTGTTCCACAGGCCGAAGGTCATGGATGCTGTTTGGGTGTGTGGTTATGTGGGCGATGTCGTCTTCACTTGAGAGTGATCAGGGCTGGGAAACACCTGTGTGTCCGAAGGAAGAGGTTTTCTCTCTCTCTCTCTCTCTCTCCCTCCCCCACTTTCTTTTTCACCAGGGATCTGTCTACCTTGAAAGGACAGGGATAGCCCTCTTTAAAAATAGCCGAATGCACCTAAGAAAAGTACTTCTATTTCAGGGAATTCTACGGTTCCCTGCCTTTGACCTTGGTGCTGGCTAGGGACTTTGAAACTTCCTGCTGCCTTGGGTGTGCCGTCGAACTTGTCCTGGCCCCTACGTCAGCCCAAGCCCTGTCTGCCCTCCTTGTTTACTCCGGCCTCCGCAAGCAGAGGCCCGGACCTGACCACATTGCACTGGGTAGCCATTCGGTCATTCCTGACAGGTGAGCTGTAACCCCTCAGTTTCGAGAGCGAGAAAGGGTGGGGCAAGGAATTTCTGGATCGAGGCACAGGAATGAGTCCCAGGAGGGAACTAACGCGCTCGGGGCCCTGGCCCGCTGTGGAGGGATCAGGGCAGGAAAAGCGCTGGTCAGAGTCTCAGGTCCTTCCCTGCCCGAGCCCCTGCCTGGACAGCATGGTGACTGGTGTGTGAGTTAAAGTGCTTTTGGCATGAGGAACAGCAACCACGACCTGTTGGCTCTGGCTACTGTAAACCACAGCGGGGGATTCCCAAGATTCCCACGGGGGGACGCATGGGTTTGCACAACGGGCCAGGGAATGTTGTTCAGCTTCAGGAAGGAAGGGACTTTGTCATGACGTGACACAGATGGACTTCAAAGACACAGCCTGAATGAGGCACACCAGGTACAGAAGGGCACACGCTGGGTGGTCCCACTCGCACGCGGTAACTGGAGAGGTCACAGAGACGGGCCGTGGGACGGTGGTTTCCAGGGGCCGGGGGTAGGATGTTCTTGCTCAGTGGGGTCAGAGTCCCAGTTCTGGGTGCTGGGCAGGCCCCGGAGACGGTGGCGGCGCTGGCTGCACAGCTGTGTGAGTGCACCTGATGCTGTTGAACTGTCCCCTTACAATTTTACACTGAAAAATAGTAAGTATAGTTTACCAGGCACAAACCCAAACTGACCTAAACCAACAAACAGTTGTTCCAGAGGGGTGAAACGCCAACATGGCCCTTCAGGAATTGGGAAAAAAATGGGAAGAATGCTGGGGCATCTCATGGAACAAAAAGACTAGCTAAACCTCCACGCCTTGAGTGGGGACGGGAAACAGGGCAGCTCCAGGGACTTCAGGGCAAGAGCTCGTAGGCCTCTTCCCTTGGGGTGCTGCTCCGACAGCAACCTGACAGCAACCTGACGTGTTTCTCCGGTCCAGGTTTCACCTGCCAGAAAGAGTCTGCTTGGTCAGCTATGGGCAGGTGGCCATCAGGTAGATTAACTTCGGTGGGGGTGGGGTGGCAGGCGCATGTGTTACCACTGGTGACCACAAGGGGGAGCTATGGGTCTGTTCATCAGAATCCAAGTCCTTGCATGGCCAGTGTTCAGAATGATTACTTTTCCAATTTATTTGTTTCTTTTAATTATATATCTTTAATTGCCTGATTTTTGTTTTGTCTGCACAACAGCATTTTGGGGGCATGTTGACTCTTGTCTGAGTCAGCTTCCTGCTGTTGAACGGGAGGCAGAAGGTTGGCAGGAAGGGGGCATGGAGTACGTCTGTCTGGCCTTGGTGCCTTGCAAACTCCCCAAGCCCCACCCTGACAGAATTCTCAGGGGAATGCTGAGAAGCTTCTGAAAAAACTGAATTTTATTTTTCTCCCACCCTAAGCAGAAAGGAGGCAGGGAGTTAGGAATCAAGCAGACAATAAGGGAAATTTTCTTTATTGAATGATTGGGGTTTGGGCCCAGATTTTTACCCCCAGCCTAGCCTAATGCCCTTTCCCTGCCCTGAAAAGCTCAGTGTAGGAGCTAGAGGTTCTCACGCTTCTTTTGTGTCTGCGCTCTCCGTACCCAGGTGACCTGGGGGCAGGCCAGATCTTCCGGGACCTAGCAAAGCCTCAGCAAGAGGGACAAAGATCATTTCCTGTCTGACTAAGAAAAAGTTATGGTTTTTCTTTTTCTTTTTTCCCCATCACCGTTTATTTCCTCCATATACCCTCTTCTGCCTCACCCACCCCCCAACACCTGTTTTTTTTTTTTTTTAGGGTTTTGTAAGTGTTCATTTGAGCCAAACTGGTGACATAGACAGGGGAAGGAGCTCTGAAATGTTGCCCCAAGGTGTGTGTTAAAATAAAATAAATAAATAACAGAAGAAAAAAAGAGAGTTATAAATAAGGTAAGGATGGACAGGAGATGTCGAGAGTTCTATGGGCGTCTGCGTGAGTCAGAGGCCAGAGATGGTCTGGCTGGCCTGACGCTGGACGCGGATACTCAGACGCTCCTACCTATGCTCTCACGGCTGTTGTGAGAACGTAGGTAGGAAAATCTTAGATGTTTCACGCAGAAACTTTTTTTTTACTGACTTGTCCCCTAGAGCAAGGGACATAAAGGAAAGAATAAACAAATGGGACCTCATCAAAATTAAAAGCTTCTGCACAGCTAAAGAAAACAGTATCAAAATTAAAAGAGAAACAACTGTATGGGAAAACATATTTGCCAATGATACCTCAGACAAGGGTTTAATCTCCAAAATATATAAAGAATTTACACGACTGCACTCTAAGAAGACAAGCAACCCAATTAAAAAATGGGCAAAGGACTTGAACAGACACTTCTCCAAGGAGGACATACAGAAAATCCAAAGACACATGAAACGATGTTCAATATCACTAGCTATCAGAGAGATGCAAATTAAAACCACAGTGAGATACCACTTCACACCAGTCAGAATGGCCATCATAAACAAAGCAACAAACAACAAGTGTTGGAGAGGTTGTGGAGAAAAGGGGACCCTAGTGCACTGTTGGTGGGACTGCAGACTGGTACAACCACTATGGAAAGCAGCATGGAACTTCCTCAGAAAATTCAAAATGGATCTGCCTTTTGACCCAGCAATTCCACTGCTGGGATTATATCCTAAGAACCCTGAAACACCAATCCAAAAGAACCTATGCATCCCAATGTTCATAGTAGCACAATTTACAATAGCCAAGTGCTGGAAGCAACCTAGATGCCCATCAGTAAATGAATGGATCAAAAAACTATGGTACATTTACACAATGGAACTCTATGCAGCAGAAAGAAAGAAGGAGCTCCTACCCTTTGCAACAGCATGGATGGAGCTGGAGAGCATTATGCTAAGTGAAACAAGCCAGTCAGTGAAAGACAAATACCATATGATCTCACCTTTAACAGGAACCTAAACAACAAAACAAAGAAACAAAATATAACCAAAGACACTGAAATAGAGGACAGGCTGATGGTGACCGGAGGGGAGAGAAGAGGGAATTTCAGGGGACATTGGGAAGGGTTTATGGGAACAAACTTAAAGGACACATGGACAAAAACTAGGGGGAGGGTGGTAATGGGAGGGAGGTGGGGAGGGTTGGGAGGGTGGGCTGGATTGGGAATAAAAGGGAGAAAACTGTACTTGAACAATGATTACAATAAAATAAAAAAGAACGGCTGTTGTGTTGGTGTGAGGTGGGGGTTAGCAGGACGGGAAAGGTGTCTTTCTGTGTGACAAGGATGTATGTCTGCTCCCCTCCCTTCACACCAGCATTCCCTCCAGAGACTGAGAAACTGTTTCAAATACTTTTATTATTTTTTGTATCACTGGCTCATTTCTCTGAATCTGACTGTGTCATTCAGACCACAGGGCTGCCCTCGCTTCTCATGGGGTCACCCCTTTCTCCCCTGAGCCGGGGCTCCCGCGGGGGCCTGGTTGTCATGGGGCGTGGAGCCGCTGGTCTTTCTACGATCGAACCGGTTCATCCGGGCACGTTCCTGGGGGGGCAGCAAAGGCAGGTTGGGGTCCTTGAGGTGACCTTGAACCCACCCGCTGCTAGGATTGGCGCAGATCTCCCGCTGCTTCTTGGTGACGAAGCTGTGGAGGCAAAATGAGACTGTCAGGGGCAATGGAGTAGGAGGGGCCTGTCCACACTCCCCCCACTTCTAGCTCACACGGGGCTCACCCAGGCCTCCCCGATCTTGCTTTTATCAGAGGGCCCCCCTCTCTGGCTTCTAGACCTCATCAACGCTTTTTTTCAGCTCCTTCCCCACTCTGTCTAGACCGCCAGGCTGGGCTGCATTATCAGCACCATGTACTGGGCCACACAGCTGTAAGCAGGAAAATCAAGAATCACACCCAGGCCTGTCCTGTGAGGTTCACAGCCCTTCACCGCAACTCTCCTCTGTCCAGTGTGGAGACTTCTTGGTTCTGAGCACTCCTTCCCGCCCTGCAGAGGTATCTGTAGGGACGCTTACATGATGGCCGGCAGGTGACAGTTGAGGGCCTTTCTGTACCCCGCCACCAGTTTCCTCGGCAGTACTCTCTCCTGGTACTTCATGCAGCAGGTGTGCGAAACGTTCACCGCCTCAACCATTTCTGCAGGAATCACACTGAACGCTGAGCGAGGGAGGCAGAGAGGGAGCCCGTGACCTCCCTCTCCCACCCGCTGCGCCCCACCCCTGTGACGGCCGTGCAGTCCGTTAGCAGGGACTGGCTGCAGCCGGCGGCGGAGCTCGGAACCTCTCAGGAGCAGCAGCAGCAGCCAGCCGATCCATGTTTTGGGTGGGCCATTTTCTCTTTCTTGAGGCCTGAACCCATGGCACGGGCCTGCTTGGCCCCCCCAAAGGGTACTGTGGCCCCCTCCCACCCACCACATGCACCTCTGCACACAGTGACACTCGTGTCCTTGGTTCTCGAAGCAAAGTTGACAAAGACCGGGGCATCCTGAGAGTGTGAGTGACCCTTGCTCCCCCAAATATTTACACGGGCAGAGGCAGGCTTGGCTGCATGCCAGGGGTGGCCGTAGGCAGGCAGGAAGGGCTGGGGCAGTGGTGGGCAGGTATGTGGAAGAACAGAGCGACTTGGTCCCTTCCCTGTCACCAGGTCCTCCGAAGTGATGGTAGCGGCCGGGGCAGGGAGCGGGCAAAGTGACCCTCCCTCTCCACAGCCCCCAAGCACCCTGCAGCGCTAAAACCTGCCGACCTCTGCTCTTTCCAGCAGGCTTGATTTGGGTCTAGGCTGGGGGGTGGAGACGGGGGTCAGGAAACCCCAAATGGCACACTCGGGCATCCCATTGGGACTCCTTTTGGCCGCACGATAGTCCCAGCCATGGGGCCGCACAGTACCAGGAACGCGCGTCTGGGTTCAGGCTCCGCACCCCGGAGCTCAGCAGCCCCAGCAGCGCTTCAGCCTGCCCCCCAGCACGCGGGGTCCTGCTCTGCCAGAGGCCAGCCTGTCCCCACCCACCTGCCTTGCCTGCCTGTTCACCGCAGGCGTTTATTGTTGTCTCTTCTGCTACCTCCTCGGTCCCTCTTCCTAAGGGCTCCGTCCTTGGGACCTCCAGCGTAACCTTGACCCAGCTCCCCGGAGCTGCCCAACCCCAGAAGGATCCGGACTGCAGCCCAGCTCTACTTACAAAGGGGCAGAGTTTAAAGACAGCAGCTAAGTTGCACGAGGGGAGAGGCCCCTAGGGGGGAGGACAGAGGTCTGAAAGCTCTCTCCAGTGTCACCCCGCCGCCAGCTGGCCCGTTCCCCTTTCTCATCGTTGCCCTCTAAGGGACAGGCGGACTCACTCGTCTGGCTGGGAGAAACAGAAGTGATGGTGAGGGTGAGGATGAGGAGGAAGAGGGCAGCCGTGGAGGCCTTCATCCCCCCTAGTGGGGCAGTGCAGCCTCAGGGGAGGGCTGCGCGAAGATGTGCTTCTTTCTGCTGGTCGTTCCCTCTCTGACCTCTCAGCTCTCTGGACTCTGACCCCTTCAGAGTAGGTGGGGGAGAGAGGAGAAACGGGCCTCTCTCTGCAATCAATGCACGGTCGCTGCACCGGAAGGCCGCGGGGGGCGGGGCCTGGCGCGAAGCGGGATTCGGCGCGATTTGAGTTCCTCGTGCGCAGGGAACCGGCGGCGAACTGTGCTGTGTGTCAGCCACCCCGCGTGTCCTGTTTCACTGACCCCTCGCGTTGTGAAGTAGACGATTACTCCTGTTTCACAAGTGAGGCCACTGAGGCCTAGAGAAGGCACTTCGGTGAGTTGCCCAAGGCCACACGGGTCGCAGGCTGACGGGCGGCGCTGGAAGCCGGCTCCACGCGATTCCTCCGCGTCACCTGCCAACCTCTGTGTGTCCCCCCCCTCGCGGGTGGTCGGACTTTGGGAGGGTCAGGGAGAGCGCAGACTGAGGCAAGGGTAGGGTTTCGTGGTCTGCAAAGGAGGCGCCCCCACCCGCGGTCCAAGGACACGTGTGTGAATTGGCTCGTTCGTGTCGCAGATTATGCTACGCATACTCCAAAGAGACAGTGTGCCTGGTCCTCGTGTTTTTGTTTTCTGCTGGGGTGTTTGGCTCGTTTGCCGGTTCCCGTTTATCTCTCCGGACCTTGGACTCTAAATCAGCTTTCGGTGTCCCATGGCCGCGAATGCCCTTCGTGTGGATGTCTCCAACCTGCCACCATGGCCAGCAGAGGGCGCTCTAACACCGCGAGCCTGGCAGTCTGCGCGCGTCCCACGTTCCACCTTCTGCCTGCTGCCTTTGGCTAAGGCCGGACCCGCCCCTCCCCCCGCCCTCCCCTCCCCCACCCCGCATCTTCTCTCTCCCGACTGCCCCAGGACCCCGCTCCACGTTGGAGGCAGCTTTCAGAGGAGAGATGGAACGTACACGGGATTTTGCTGTTGATGGACCCTGAGCTCTAGAGACCCGGGGCAGTGTTTCAGGAGACGAGAGTGGAGGCGGCAGGGGCGGAACCGGTAATACGGAGATCCTCGTGGGGCTTGCCTTTTGGCCTGACTGCACATAACATGCAGTGCAACTGGCCTTGGTGGGTTCAAGGCAGCCGTCGTGAAGCTGCAGCTTTTTAGGAGGGTGAGGAGGGTATGTATGTGGGGTTCCCCCTTGACCTCTGTTTAAGGACACAAGGAGGTCTGAGAAAGTCTGGGTGTACCCGTCGCATGCGGACCCCCTCTCTGCCCTTGTCTGTGGACGGCTGGAGGCCAGGGAAGAGTGGCCATCGTTCCGCGCATGCTCTCACTCCGAGTACGTAGAGCGCCTCCTTGAACCCTGAACGTGGGCCTCAGAGCCTCTGGGGACAGCTGGGTGTCATTCTCGGGGCATAAACCTCCTCTTCCTTCCTTCCTTCCTTCCTTCCTTCCTTCCACCCACTCATCCATGCATTATTCATCCATCCATCCCTTTCCCGAGCACCTAGTATGGCCTAGGCTTTCTGCTAGGCTCTGTGGGGGGCACAAAAATGAGTGAAACAATGCAGTACAACCTGATACATGTACGTGGATGGGGAAGGGGTGCGGAGAATGTGTCCATGAATCATCCCTGTCCCGGGAAGCAGTGAACAGAGGCCCTGGGCGCCGCGCAGAGAAAAGGACTATGGCGTTTGCTACGGAGAGGCCTTTGTGAAGATCTACCTGCCAAACGAGGTGATCATTCTTAGCTCTACACTTGTAAAGGCTCAGTAAAACAATGCACATAGAAGACACTGAAAAAAATGGTGTCTGTTATTATCGTGATTACTTATTGTGCAAAGGTGGCCTCCGCACCGAGTGTCTTTATCGCTTTCTTTTCTTTAATTTTTTAAACGATTTGCTTTATTTATTTTTAGTAAGAGGAGAACGGAGGGAGAAAGAGAGGGAGAGAAACATCCATGTGTGGTTGCCTTTCGAGTGTCCTCTGTGGGGGACCTGGCCCACAACCCAGGCATGTGTCCTGACTGGGGAATCGAACCAGTGACCCTTTGGTTCGCAGGGTTGCCCTCAATCCACTGAGGTACACTGGCCAGGACTCTTTCTCGCTTTCTGCTCAGCTTCCCACTACTCGCTTCATAGGCCTGGCCCATTTCTTTGCAGCAGACTCTGGCCAACCTTCTGCAGAGCAAGGTTGGGTGCTGAGGGTGCCCCTGGGCTGGGCTCAGCAATGTCTCAGGGCCAGTGGGTGGCTTTAGGAGAAATGAATGAGGGCGGGAGGACACCACTGACCTTCCATTCCAGGCGGGGCAGCTCCCAGGAGGTGTGGCTCAGCTGGCAGCTGGGAGGAAGCTTTGGGGGGAGGTGGGGGGAGGCTTGGTCTTTCTCTTTAAGACTCCGGGCTGTGTCCTTCCCCACCACTTCTGGGTCACTCAGATCTACCCCAGCTCCTGGATGTAGGCCATCGCTGGGGTCAGCACCGACGGAACAGCCCTTTTTGGCGAGGAAGCTATGGAAAGAGGGGGAGAAGGATTACACACCACAGGCTGGGCAGCTAGGAAGGAGAGCTTGTCCTTCCTCCCTCCCTCACAAACCCCTCGCCTGGCCTGGAGGCAGCCCAGGGCCAGCTTCCGTTCTGAGACAGACACTTCAGCCCTCAGGGCCCCTGAACCCACCTGTTCTCCCTGTCTCCACCCAGGAAGCACCCTTCCGCCTTCTCTTCCCCGCCACACACTTAATGCCTCCCCAGCCACAGGGCCAGCTCCGGCCCCCAGAAGGCCCCAGAGTGGCCAGAAGGCCCTTAGGTTGTCCCCCAACTTCCTCTCCCCATGTCAACACACCTGAGAGGCCCCCTGGGGAGTCCCATTCTGCATTCTGCCCATCCCGTGCCCCGGTGTGGTGTGTGAGGGGCACCCACACAACTCTAGGCTAGGAGCACCGGCCGCTGGGTCATAGTCGCGTGTGATCCGCTGGCACAGGACGGCGTGGGAGGCGTGGGTGCAGCCGCACCCCGTGGGCTGGGCAGGCCCTCCCAAGGAGAGAGCGTGAGGGAGCTGGAGCTGGGCCGTAGTTCAAGGGGACACCCGAAGGGAGGAAGCAGGAGGGAAGGAGGAGGTAGCCCTGAAGAACGGGGAGACGTGGCTGTGGAGGGACCCACAGCTGGCCCCTCACCTCCTCCTCCTCCTCCATCAGCAATCACCCTGCCTCCTGCCGTTCACCCTCCGAGGAGGACAGGCTGGTGGCTTCCACTCCACCATGAGGAGCTGCAAAGCCTAGGTCACCTCAGTGAGCACAGGTTATCCCCAGCGGGGGGGGGGGGGGGCTGGCTGGCCGAGACACGAGTTATCCAAGTCAGGGCCAGGCTTCGTCACTGTGATCCACTGTTGCTATTTGGAGATTCAGTAATGAATTAGAGATGACTCTTACATGCAGATGTCGTACCTTATTTTCTTTCTTTTTTTTTTAAGATTTTATTTATTTATTTTTTAGAGAGGGAAGGGAGGGAGAAAGAGAGAGAGAGAGAAACATCGATGTGCGGTTGCTGGGGGCCATGGCCTGAAACCTAGGCATGTGCCCTGACTGGGAATCGAACCTGCGATGCTTTGGTTCGCAGCCCGCGCTCAATCCACTGAGCTATGCCAGCCAGGGCTCGTACCTTATTTTCATTCTTCTCTATACACCAAAATATTCTGGAAGGGCAGGAACCTAGTAGGTCTGGATCTGCTGGTTTTTCTAACACCCACAAAGTGTGACATAGAGTAGTCGCTCAGTAATTCCCCGAGGGACAGTGAATATCCAGTTCAGGGTCCCAGAGGAAAGGAGGCGGGTGCTCTGGCTGGGCCGTGAGGGAAGGGTTTAGGGGGCACTGGAATTGACCTATGAAGGGCGGGTTGGGTTTGCTCAGAATTGAGAGGAGGGGCGTTTCCGCCAGAGGGATGGCAGAAACAGGGAAGTGAGAGAGCACATGCTGTTTTGGAGGAAGTGGGGAAACAGAGTCCCCGAGTCTTGGGCAGTGAACTCAGACCCAACCTGCCCTCATGTCCTCCAAGACCTTGATTGACAGATGCTTGGTCAGCAAGGTGGGTCCTGGTCCCCACCCTTTATTTCTGCTCGGCTGCCGCTGTCACAACCCAAATCCTTGACCAGCAAACGCCTGGCTCTACCACGCAGAGCTGAGGTGCTCGGTGCCCTCATTTCATTCTGCCCAGCCGACCGCCTGGCCAGCCGAGGACCCAGGGAGGCCACACGCACCCATTCCCCTGAGGTCCAGTGCGGTTTCAGTGCAACAACTCTCGACCATTGTCGCCAAGGCTCTGAAACCAAATCACTGCCGAGAAGCTGCTGTGGCCGTCACTCAGTCGTGTAAGCCAGGGCTCTGTGGGCTGGGGCCGACTCCACACCCTGCATTCCCCGGGACGCACACAGACAGCGCTGAGAGCCCCAGAGAAGACCGAAGCTGAGTCCCAATGGAGACCAGAACCCTGAGCATCTGTGTCTGCTTTTTCCTCTCCCCAAATCCCGACACGATGACAGAATAAATACGAAAACAAAAATGCATTCATAGTAGCAGTAGGGGATCAGAAAAGATGGTATTGGCTGGATATGAGGTGAGAAATTTGTGTTCTGTATAAAGGACACGCATGGGCTTGGTGGCAAAACCCCAGGAGGCGGAAAATCCTTACACCCTCACACAGGGGAAGGAGAAGGTGATTGAAAAGGCGTTTATCCCCGCAGGATCCTGGGTAGCACAACCCTCGGAGTCGGTGGGGGTGGGGAGAAGCTACGACCCAGCCAGCCCCCACTTCAGGACGTGAGGAGCAGGGTGGCCCCAGGACGACCCCACAGCACAGCTGTCCCCTTCCAGAAGGAAATCTGGGGTGGGGATCCTCCAGAGGCGGGTGGTGGGGGGGCGGTGCCCCAGGGGGAGAACTGGGCGGGGCCCTGGATAACTCGGGTCTGGGGCAGGAAGCCCCGCCCCCTACCCAGAGAAATGGGACTCTCTGATCATCTCAGTGAAAGGCTGCATCAGTTCCTCCCCTCCTTCTTCCCCTGCCACAGCCAGGCCCCTGTGCTCAGAGTCCGCAGTCACAAAGGAGGAGTTGCGGACTTCCACTGAGGCCGGGAAAGGGAAAGGCGGCCAGGAAGGTCACACACACTGAGGTGCTCTTCCCCTTCGCAGCTGTGCCAGCCAGCGGGCCAATCAGTGTTCCCGGACCTGCTAAAGGGGTGTGTCCAGGTGAGGCCCTGGGGCCACCTGCGTCAGAATCACCTGGATTGGTTGTTGCAGTTGTACACACCTGTGTGTAAGCCTTTATCCCCACCGGCTTCCTGCCCATCCTTCCACTCCCAAGTGACGGAGTAAAAGAAACTTTTCTCCGCTGTAGCCAAACCGTCCAAGATCAGCTGTTTTAATAGGATGGACGGGGTACACTGTGAATTTGTGTTTCCCCTCTCAGCGTTAGAGTAACTCCAGCTTGACTCACTGGTTAATGATCAGTTTCTTCGCTATTGATTTCTTATGGGCAGGCACCCCAAAAAATAAGCGTAGGTTTTAAACGTTTTTTTTTTTTTAATTAAAAAAGCTTTGTTGTTTGGAATCTGGTGCTTTCTTCTGGGTTTATGAGAGAGACACTGACCAAGATTTACTAATTATATAGGCTTTAATAGGATATAAACTCCAACTATAAATGTTTTTCTTAATGTTCTTTAACTTTCAAGAAGACATCTTTTTGGGAAGTTATATCTCTTAAGAAAAAACATTCCACCGGAAAGAAGGCATCAGGGTGACTGGGTGCCTTTCAATTGCTTTGGAGCGCTGGCTAGAAGGCCCACCCCGGGACTCCTTACACCTGTGGGGAGAGGCACTTTCTCTTCAGTACATTTTAATGAGTGTGCTGTGACTGTTCTCCCACTTGCTCTTCCCTTCCTCCCCCTCTGTCCTGCATCTACCTCCCAACAGCATCCCCTTCCACCTTAGTCTAGGTCCGTGGGTCCTACATGTAACTTCTTTGGCTTCTCAGTTTCCTATACTTTTCTTAACCTCCCCGTGTTTTGCACCTGCCATTGAGGCTTCTTATTCCCTGTAGGTTCCCGGCCATTCTCCCCCTCCGCCTCCCCACTGACAACCCTCCATGTCATCTTTATTTCTGTGATTCTCTTCTTGTTCTAGTTACTTGCTTAGTTTGTTTTTGTTTTTTTTTTTAGGTTCAGTTGTTGATAGCTGTGAGATTGTTGTCATTTTTCATAGTGTTGATGTCCGTCTTTTCTTAAATAAGTCCCTTTAACAGTTCATAGAATGAGGGCTTGGTGATGATGAACTCCTTTAACTTTGCCTTATCTGGGAAGCAATTTACCCGCCCTTGGGAAATGCATTTCTGATTGCTGTTCTGTTTGCTCTGGATCAGGCCCCAGACTTTCTGAGATTCCCTGTGAACTTAGCAATTTTTGTCTGGAGCAGATGCAAGTGTTTTTTTTTTCCCAGTAGAAAAGACAATCCAGAAGTGACAGTTATATTGCAATCTTGGGTATTACTCAGTTTTTCTCTAAGTTGCAGAATGCCATTCCCAACTAACTGTGTAAATCTTTAATCCCCAGATAATCATGGAAGCAGTTTCATGGTTCCCTCATTAGTGGGTTCAGTGCATCTGTGACACGTACTCCATCTGTACTCGAATGAGTCATGTTTTTACCTTCTTAAAAAACTATTCCATGATGTCTCGTTTTCAAAAAAAGCACAAATCCAAAGTTTCGCAATTTCTGCATTTCTTATTCCTCCTAAAGTTTAAGTGAAGTTAAATTGGATACTTTTTACTGGTGCACAGTTTTTGCAGAGAAGAGTACAATAATTGTTGCTTTTGACAAAAGAATTCAGGCCAGGAAACCCAGGAAACTCCCAGAAGGTGAGAGAGTGGAGGCGGGTGTGTGGCATCTAGTGCAGCTTCTCATCAACCGACACATTTCCCAGTGTGTTTTTTGACTCCAGCTTCATCATGCATTCCTGAACTCTCTCATTGGTGGGGTTGGTACAGACCTTTTTCCTGCTCTTGGTTAAGAAGCTGAGGAGCAAGGCAGAGAACAATTATACAGTGAGGAGGGTTCTGCACATAAGGATGGGGAGCCCCATCCTCTTGGCCCCTGGGGTTCCCCACTCAGCCCCACTGTTCCTCCTTTCTCTGCTGCAGGGTCTCAGGGGGTGTCCTCTGGGAGACCCTGCCTCTGACACCCCCTCAGTGACCCAGGGGAGCTTTCTGGGGCAGCCTTGCTCCTGCTCTCCCCTCCCGTCCCCTGGCCTCCCTCTTCCCTGGGGGCATCTCGTGTCTGATGCTCTGTGGCATTCTAACGAGGCCACACGCATCCGGAGGGGGGAGAATTTTCTGCACCTCCCTCTGTCATCCCATCACCACCCCAAGACATGGCTCATAAGCTTGGCACTTACATTACAGCAGGCTGGGAGCATGCACTGCTTGTTTTGTAAAAACTCTCCATGTTTCCACATCGGATATTTCGGGGGGTGTAGGAGGGGCAGCAGTCACTGGGACGGTGCACGCCTGTCGCTAGGGAAAGGTCCACGTAAGAAATGAGTCTCTTTTTGAGGAAAACTACATCCTTTCCCCCTTGTCTCCAAAGTATGAGGGAGGGTGTGAAGGGGAAGAACTATAAAGGGGTGATTTCCTCCTCTGCAGCACCTGCTGCCATCTCCTTGCTCCCCCACCCAGGGCTGAGCTGTGCACCCAGGCAGGGCCAGGACCACTCCTCCCAGGAGTGGAAGGTCTGATGCTGCAGGAGGCGTCAGAGAGCGCCACCTCCCCAAGGTCAGCAGACTGCAGGACAGCCAGGTGGGAGAGAGCTCAGGTATGGGGAGGGACCCCCAGTGCACCCTGGTCTCCCTTGGAGATGTCCCCTCCCCCTTTCCCCATGTCCTGTAAAGGAGGAGGACTGAAGCCACTGAGCACATCTGTATGCACCAGCTGCTTTTAGATACATGCCACCCGGAAACATTTACCTCCAAAGCTTCTTAAAACAGTCAGGTGGCTCCAATCAGATTGATTCATGTCATGTATCTGCATACCCAAATCTATTGGGAGAAAGAGACAGGAGGGAAGAGGAATCACTGGGAGGCAGCGCTGTGTCGGTATCTCTGCCTGTGTCACCCCAGCCCAGCCCCCGGGTGGGGAGGCATTGCTGCTGGACACGGGGTGCCCGTCCGGGTTCTGGGCCTGCCTCCTGGCCTGTTGTCTCATTGGTGCGCTGAGATTTTTCAGGGAACTTCTGAAAATATTTGAGCCATGAAAATGTTCTATTGACTCCCTTTTTCTTCTATTGACTTTAAATACAAAAGCAAACTGCAAATCCACCTGAATAAATCAGTCGCACAGCCACACCACGTGACATAGTCCACAACATGCTTTCTGCACATTTCTGGAACCCACTGGGCTCTGGAGACGGAAAGATGTTTCTTTAAGTGATTTGGTGGCACAGTGTCAGCCAGAGTGAAGTGAGACTAAGTGAGACTATTTATAGCCTTTGTCCCATTAGTAGGAAGATTTGTTGTGTTTGCTGCAGAAACGTTACTGTTTGATTCAAGTATGCTTCCCAGAGTCTGCCAGGACTGTTAGGAATGTCCAGCTATTTGTTAACTCTTAAACATATTTTTATTTATTTGACAAAGGAGGCAGCAACATTAAATGGAATAAAAATAGCCTCTTCAACAAATGGTGTTGGGAGAACTGGACAGCCACGTGCAAAAAAATGAAACTTGAGCACCAACTTACACCATATACAAAAATAAATTCAAGGTGGGTAAAAGACTTAAATATAAAACGTGACACCATTAAAGTCCTAGAGGAGAATGTAGGTGGGAAAATCTCAGATATTTCACGAAGAAACTTTTTTACTGACGTGTCTCCTAGAGCAAGGGACATAAAGGAAAGAATAAACAAATGGGACCTCATCAAAATTAAAAGCTTCTGCACAGCTAAAGAAAACAGTATCAAAATTAAAAGAGAAACAACTGTATGGGAAAACATATTTGCCAATGATACCTCAGACAAGGGTCTAATCTCCAAAATATATAGAGAACTTACATGACTGCACTCTAAGAAGACAAGGAATCCAATTAAAAAGTGGGCAAAGGACTTGAACAGACACTTCTCCAAGGAGGACATACAGAAAATCCAAAGACACATTAAACGATGTTCAATATCGCTAGCTATCAGAGAGATGCAAATTAAAACCACAGTGAGATAGCACTTCACACCAGTCAGAATGGCCATCATAAACAAAGCAACAAACAACAAGTGTTGGAGAGGTTGTGGAGAAAAGGGGACCCTAGTGCACTGTTGGTGGGACTGCAGACTGGTACAACCACTATGGAAAAGCAGTGTGGAACTTCCTCAGAAAACTGAAAATGGATCTGCCTTTTGACCCAGCAATTCCACTGCTGGGACTCTGTCCTAAGAACACTAAAACACCAATCCAAAAGAACCTATGCATCCCAATGTTCATAGCAGCACAATTTACAATAGCTAGATGCTGGAAGCAACCAAGATGCCCATCAGTAAATGAATGGATCAAAAAACTATGGTCCATTTACACAATGGAATTCTATGCAGCAGAAAGAAAGAAGGAGCTCCTACCCTTTGCAACAGCGTGGATGGAGCTGGAAAGCATTATGCTACTCGAAACAAGGCAGTCAGTCAAAGACAAATACCATATGATCTCACCTTTAACAGGAACCTAAACAACAAAACAAAGAAACAAGCAAAAATATAACCAAAGACACTGAAATAGAGGACAGGCTGATGGTGACCGGAGGGGAGAGAAGAGGGAATTTAAGGGGACAGTGGGAAGGGTTCACAGGAACAAACTTAAAGGACACATGGTCATAAACTAAGGGGGAGGGTGGTAATGGGAGGGAAGTGGGGAGGGTGGGAGGGGGGGACTGGATTGGGAGTAAAAAGGGAGAAAACTGTATTTGAACAATGATTAAAATAAAAAAATAAAATAAAAAGAAAAATATTTTTATTTTCTGAACATGTGTTAAAGTATACATAATATAAAATGTACAATTTTGACCTTTATTTTCTGTCCTGGAGCTCCGACTCCGTGCCCTACAGGGATCTAGACCCACCCAGTACATGCAGGGTGGGGCAGAAGTGGGTGTACAGGGGTTTGTGTGGAAAATAGTACAGTAATTAAGAAATAACAATACAAGAATAAACTCTGTGTTTCACGCACTCACAACTGTGAACACACTCTCATCACCCCCGTAGTTATCAGGGGAATGAATGGCAAAGAGTTCTGGGGGGGACTGTGAGGGGCTCGCCCATCAGATAGGACAAGGGGGAAATGCCAGCAAAGCCAGAACAGTCAGGATTCTTTCAGGCTCAGAGGAAGAACAGAAGCTGTGCACTGTAGACCAGAGTCACCAAACGTTAACCCTTTCCCAATGCACAGTTTGGGAGCATGAAGGACATTCCCATATTGTACAGCTCTAACCACAGACTGTCCACGGGGCTTTATGCGTCTTATAAAATTGCACCTCTGATCCCACTAGATGGTGACTCCACACCCCCGTCCCCCAGCCCCCGGCCACCGCCATTCTACTCTCTGTGTCTCTGACTCAGCTGCTTTAAGCGCCTCCTGTCAGCGGAATCAGACAGTGTCCACCCTTCGTTACTGGCTGATCTCACTGATCATAACGTCGGGTGCAGACCTGTGCTCACCGTTCCTCCGTGTGGTAGCATGTGTCCCAGTTTCTGTCCTTTTCGGCTGAATAATATTCTACTGTGAGTACAATGTATCCCCCACTTTGAATCCATTCATTTGTGGATGGATACTTGGGGTGCCTTCCCCCCATGGTGTGATAGAAATGATGGGACTGTTAGCATGGGTGTGCAGGCACTGCCCAGGTACCTGCTTCCACTTCTTTTGGGGGTGCATCCAGAAGTGGAGTTCCAGTGATATTGTATCCCTCTTTCCAACTCGAAAGACTCTACATTGCAAAGTGCACGTAGCCCCCGTGTTCTGGGCAAGGGATTGCAGGGCTGCATTATGCTAGTTAGGCAAATGCACGGAACTGTTGGCTCATTTCTAGTGCAGTTACATATGAGTTATGTTTACTGAGGCACATGCGTACCCTCCAGTGTGCTTGTTATGATGCGTGTGGGGCTGGCAAAATACTGTCTTACATGGACTTGTTTTTTCTTTAGTTATAGCTTCCTAGCTAGATCATACCCTAAGTCCACTGCTACCCGGCTGTGGGATCTCAGCAAGTTATCTAAGGCCTCTGTGCCTCAGTTCCTCGTGTGTAAATTGAGACAAATAATTATATACAAAACCACTCTGGCTGGTGTAGCTCAGTGCATTGAGCATGAACCTGCAAACCGAGGGGCTGAGGGTTGGATTCCCAGTCAGGGCACATTCCTGGGTTGTGGGCCAGGTCCTCAGTATTGGGCACTTGAGTGGCTACCACACATTGATATTTCTCTCCCTTTCTTTCTCCTTTCCTTCCTCTTTCTCTAGAAGTAAGTAAATAAAATCTTAAAAAAATAATGCTCAAAACCATGGCAGTTGCTGGTAGTCTATTCCACAGGGTTGTTAGGAGGACTCAGTGTATTAATACCTATAAGACAATAGAGTAGTTTCTGCTGGGACAGGGCAGATTGTACAAGGCAGTGTTAGATACTCATTTGTTAGTAAGTCAGTAGAATGGTTAGGGGGACTTGGGTGAGTCACTAGCCCAGGGGGTCCCATCTCCTCTTCAAACTGATGATTGTGCAGTGCATGGGGTATCCTGGTTCAACACTGGACGAAAATATGCTTCTTTTCCCAAGTTAACCATTTGCTACAGCTCTTTTGCTCAAGCACATAATGGTCCCATATCAGGTAAGAGTAGGTATCATGTAATTCTGGCCATGAAAAGGGAAGGGAATTGTTTCCCAAGTCATCTGTGCACACTTTTCCCAGGGACCAAAGGCCCCAGGGAAAGGTCCACACCCTCCTGCGGCTGCTTTTAAGCAAGTGCCAAATTCACCTCCAAGGCCCTCTGTGTCTCCTCCCTGGACTTCAGTTCATCACCGAACTGGCCACCAGGGCGAAAGACCCACTGAACTTACCAGCATCCTGGGGTGGGGATCCACTACCGGGGTATCCATGGGCCGGGGGTCCAAGGGCAGCAGCAAGGATGAGGAAGAGGAGGGCAGCTGCGGAGACCTTCATCTTCCAGGTGTGCGGGCAGAGCTGGCCTGAGTGCCCCAGGCTCTCTGCTCCTGACTCCCTGGGACCCCAGCCCTGCACTTGTGTTTATAAGGGGAGGAAAATCAGGAAGTCACAGGGCAGAGTTCCACAGAATGCTCTTTGGCTATACAGTTGGCAATGTGATATTTCTATTAATGGAAGTAGTCTGGGAATGCAACAGGAAGTCGAGGGCAATGATGACTTGGGCTTTTCTCAGCTGCCCAATGGATGTAGGCAGAAGTGTCAAAATCCTAGAGAGAGGCCTCAGCCAGGACAGGAGTCAGGGTCCCCGTGGAAGGAGTTGTCACATCCTCTGAGGGTGGTGGAAGTGCTACAGGGAGAAGAGCAGGTGGACCAGAGAGCTCTCTGGGGAACTGTTCTTCCCCTTGTAAAGCAGCTCCCTGCTTCTTCTTGCTCTCTGTGTGTAAATGTCATCTCTGCAAGCGCCAGGTTGCCATGCTTACTTTTCCCCAAACAAATCCTCCTTGTGGAGGGAATATGTAGTTGACTTTTTGTTTATGGTAGACAAGAGTGAGCATATTTTATTTTACTGCATTTTTTAGAAACTTCAATTGATCCTATGTTTACTGATTTGAGAGAAAGAGAGGGAAACATTGATGTAGGAGACAAACTTGAAGTGTTCAGTTGATTGCCTACATATGTGTCCCAGTCGGGGATGGAACACGCAGCCTTCAGACGTGAGGGGTGGCTCTCCCACCAGCTGAGCCTTCGGGCCACGGCTGAGCTCACTTTGCTTTCTAACGATGGGCATGTATGTGCGCTCGTTCTGACTTTGGTTTCTGTTACAATATTATTGCTTCTACTAGCTTAGATTTTATATTCAAATTAGTGAATGTTTCTGGTTTTGTCTCCCAGTGTTCCATGGCATTTACATATTTTCAGTTAGTGTTTCTTTTGTTAGGTCATTGGTAAAGAGCTACAGCCTGTAGCAATGACTCAAACTCTGGGCAGTGTCTGTGAATGTTATTGTTGAAATAACATCAGATTCACCTCTCCCAGCAAGTCGAAATTGCCAGTTTAAAGACTTACTTTACTTCCAAAACATTTCTTGAAACATCAATATGATTTATGTAAAACAGGCAGTATATACAAGCTCACTAACATTTACTTAGCAGCAGACGGGGCCCTGACCATGGCAGAGGCTTCAGTCGGATGGACCGTGACCTCTTCTTTCCTGCGTCCTCCCTCCCGGATCCCCCAACATGCCAATCTTAACTTTGACCTCCATGTTCAAATCTCTCCGGCTCTTGCTCTCGATGTCATTGGGTTACTTTAAATAAGTACCATCTCTATGATGACTGTTAAACTTCAATTCCTCCAGGAAAATTGTAACTCTGTTCCCCAGTTTCCCAGTTTCTCAACTGAATTTTCCTGAGACTTGGGATTTGGGAAACCATCGAATTCTCTAAGAAATGCTGGGAAGGAATTCCCACGTGGAAGTGCCAGGGGTATTTGGAAGAAAGCCCAGTAGGGGCTGGGACTCATGCCCTTTGGGAAGGCAGACCCAGCCCCTCACAGCGCCCCCTCTTGAGAGGAGGGAAGGACCCCCAGACTCTAATGCACCTCCAGTTTGCTGGCTTTGTGCCCATTGCCCCGTTGTCTCCCTCCCAGTGTCCCCACTGGTCAGCGAGGCTGTGGGGGCTGGAGTTTTGCAGGGAGCTTCCCGGGGCTCCGAGGGCATCAGGGACGGACTCTCTTGGAGGGACTGATGCCTTGGCCATGGGAGTCTTGAGTAGGGGACCCCACTCAACCCTTTTTTCTGCTTGACATTTTGGGTCTCCGTGTAACAGTTTGCTTGAAGAAAAGGTTTTTGGTGTAAAAGTGAGTTTTAATCACTGGATTAGGTTGTATTTGCATTATTTTCTGACTCTGGAACTTCATGGCCACTCACAGGAGTTACACGTGGATGACAGCGAAGCCACGCTGAGCTGGAACCAGGAACACAGCGGGAAGGGCATTGCAGACCAAGGGCATTTCAAACGTGCTGTGGTTGTGGGGTGGAGTGACTTGGGGTGTCCATGTCAAGTGACCAACCTAGACGGGAATGTGAGTGCACATGGTGAAGGCCTCAGGGGTCACCGAGGGCACCCAGATGCTTGTGTGGAGAGGGAAGGGCCTGGTCCTGTCACCCAGCACCTGTCCAGGCCACACCCTTGCACTCCAAGGATGAAATCGGGGTCCCCTGTCTGGAGACCCACTCCCACTGCGCTCCCCTGAGCTGATGAACCCCTTTCACAAAGACCAATCAGGCTGTCCAGGTTCCCACTAACGTTAGAGTAACTTTATTTCAACTGCCTTCTGTGTTTCCCCTGAGTCTCTGAGAAGAAAATGAGGTAATGTCGAAGGGTGAGGAATAGTTTGGTTGTCTGAAAAAGCAGCTCATGCAAAGAAATAGGCCGGAAAAATGTGATTGGGGACAACCCTGCACCCCAGTCGCATTCTCCAAAGGCCATACCTGAACATTGCTCCACTGACCCTGGATGCAGGCTGGGCCCCCAGCTAAGGCCCCAGATGGACACTATGGCTGTGGGGGGCTCCAAGGACTGCTCCTCAGTATCTCTGGGGGTGATGCCCCCCAAATGGGGGGCCCTTTTTTGAGTGAGTGGGGAAGCAGGGTGGCCCCAACCATTGACTTGGCAGGAAGGGGTCTGGTCCTGGGGAAGATGGAGGGGAAACAGTTCAAGAACACTCCAGGTCTCTTAGCAGAGGCCCTCCCCCTCGGGTGCCCAGCAGCCTTGCTCCTGCTTGTTTCCCCTGCAGGGAGCAGGGTGGAAGGAAGACAGGGGTGCACCCACGTGAGGAGGGTTTAGTCTTGGCCCTCAGAGCATACACGACAGTGATGGTGATGAGGAGGAGGATAAGGTGGAGGAGGCAGGAATGGCCGCCATGGAGACCCCCATCTTCCCCCAGACGGAGCCACTGTGGGAGGGGAGCTGGCCTGGAAGGGGCTCCTGAGGCTCCAGGGCTGACGGCATGCTGAGAAATGATGATCTAGGCAAAACAGTTTTAGAATAAGAGAACTGAGATTTCAAAGGAAAGCCGGAAGGGGTGGCAGCCTCAGTGTGTATCCGGCACAGGTGGTGAGGGTGGAGGGAAGGAAGCACCGAGATCCAAGGTTTTGGGGGGCGGGAAGTTGCCCTCCACGCCCAGTGGGAATGTGTCCCCTTTGCCCTAAGCCCTCCCTGAGGTGGAGACCTGGGGCCCGGGGTGGGGTGCGGGAGGCACTGGCTGCGACTTTAGCCCGAGATCTCCAGGCTGGATCGGCCTGGCCTGTGCCCGACTCCAGTTCCAGGTGTCAGATCAAGGCTGTGTCGGGGCTGGAGATTCAGACTCTGCTTGCTGGAAGATCAGAGTGGGTTTGGGGTGACAGGATGAGGTCTGGAGGCCCCCCATATCAGCTCTAGGAAATCCTCACCCTGAACCTTTAAGCTCCCAGTCTCACCCCACACCCTCACCACACCCTGAGTGAGGAAGTATTGTGGCACTCAGTAGGTCGTTTATTTCATGAATGTTCTCTAACAAAGCTAACATACTAGCTGCTGTCCCAAATGCTCCAGGTGTATTAGCCCATTCAATCCTTGTATCAGCAGTTGAGGAAACTGAGGCACACACAGCATAAACAGCTTGCCCAAGGTGTGACAGTTGGTAAGCAGAATTGGGGATCAAACCTGGGCAGTCTGGCCCCCAAGTCTGTGTTCTTAAGCCCCACACTGCTTGGAGAAATATGGAGCCCCAAATCCACTGTCTCTGAAAACGCCCTGGCAGGCTGGGGCTCTCCTGAGCTCAGGTGTGGGTCCCTGTGGGACCTTCTCCTGGTTTCCCACTTTGACTACAGACAGCTGGGTGGGGACCTGAAATGACCACATGCCCAGTTCAGGGCCGGCCACCGGCCTCAGGATTGGCGGAGGACTGGAGCTCCGGGTTGGAAGCTGCTGGGAGCCCACGTCCTCGTAGCCCAGAAGGGAGCCCTGTGAGTGACGGGTGTTTCTGTGCCGGTGCCGCCTGCTCGCTACGTGTTTGCCACTTACTGGGAGATGACACGGGGGGCTCAGGAGGGGCCGGTGACTCCCTCACATTCTCAGAATGGCTTGGGGACAGGATGGAGCCATCTCTGCAGACTGACAGCCCCGTGGCCTCCACCACACTCTTCCTTCCAGGGCACTGGGCCCGTTGTGCCTGCTGTTGTCTTCCTGCCTGGAGCCCTCCAGGCAGGGGCATCTGTGGTTCGTCCTTGCCCGTGCTCGGAGACCCTCGTGCACAGCAGGCCATTTACAAATGCGAGTTCTAGAAGAAGGGTGCATGCATGAACAGAGCTAGTCTACACGTGTGCACCTCACAGGCTCATTACTCTTGCTGCACACTGCATCGATACTCTTTGTGGGTAAAGAATTCTGTGTTGAGAGTATTGAGAATATTTAAGGAGGAGCTTTTATTTGTGGTGATGTTTCTCCTCTATGTAGACCATTTAATGGTTTATTATTTACCTTTATTTTCTTCCTTTTTGGTACAAAAGGACTTAAACTTTGCCCCTGCTCTGGAATCAGCCATTTCCCTAATGGGCCTAGTTCCTGTTTGTGGACAATGGTTTTGAGTAACCAAGGCCTGGGGGCTCATTGTGTTGGGAATGGCAATGCTGGCCCTGGCTGGTGTGGTTCAGTGGATTGAGTGCTGGCCTGGGAACCAAAGGGTGGCGGTTTGATTCCCAGTCAGCGCACATGCTTGGGTTGCAGGCCAGGTCCCCAGTGGTGGGTGGGTGAGAGGCAACCACACACGGATGTTTCTCTGTCTCTTCTCCCTCTCTTCCCTTCTCTCTAAAAATAAATAAATAAAATCTTTAAAAAATTATTTGCATTTATGTTTTGGTTGCCAATAAATAGGTGCTTTTTCATAAGAGTTGCAAGCAACACTGAAGTTGCAAAACCAAGGCTGAGAGTTCCTGGTCAAGTCCTTGGGCACCGGGTGGTGTCGGCTCCACCGGGGCCTGGTCAGGGAAGCCGGTCCTTCATCAGCACTAGGTCCTCTTGAGTCTGAGTTCTGGGGCTGGGACCCCACAATCTAGGTTGACAAGCTCTCC